CAAAGACGGGCGCGGGGAGAGGGGCCGTTGTGTGTCCGTTTGTCGGTCTCGGCCGGCGGGGAGAGCCCGGCCGGGGACCTCGGACTGGTTTGCTGACCATCGAGCCTAGCCAGAGTTCCTCGCTGCGAGGTCGCCTTTCTTCCTTTTTAAAAAAATTTTAAATTCCTGTAGCCTTCCTTCTCCGGCAGACAAGTGTTTTTCTGTAGCTTGTTCGAGGGTGGGGTGGAGATCAGAAGCCGAAAGTTGGGGCCGTAGGCAGACCTCCCGGGCTCCAGAAAGAAAACGCGCAGGCACACACGCTACAACAATAACAACCGCCACCACCAAGCCTCTCCGCGCGGCGTGGGCTCAGGCTCCATCTCGCCCTCCTGTCTGCCTCGCTTTCTTCCTCCTGCAAACAGAGCGCTGGGCTCCGACCATCGCGTGCGCCCACACGGTCCCCTACGCCCCCGTTCCCTTTGGGTGCCACCGCCGTCGGCCCCCAAACCAACCGGCCGGCTGGTCAGGCAGCGGCAGCCGCTCGCCCGGGGAAACTTGGCCAGGGGGAAGCGGCTGCGAGGAAACTTTGGGACCTCCAGAAACAATAGTTGGGGAAGAAGGTGTGGGCTGTTGTGTGCGGCTTATTTTCCGGTAGCCGGCTCCCGAGTGAGCGCGCCCGGCAGCGCAGCAAACGCTTCCTGGGTCGATTTTTACCCCCCCCCATCCAGGTGGAGAGCGATGCCCGAAGCACCGGTGTTGGCGGGGGCAGCTGGGAACCCCACCCTGGCCGGTCTTCCTTTTTGTGTTTGTTTCATTTCTGTCCCTGCCAGCCGGGTCCCCTCAGCCCTCCCCAGGCAGTCAACCCGGCGCCTCCGCACAGTGCTCGGAATAATAGCTATGAGAAGGAAGCAGGGGCCGAGGCAGACTAACCGGCAGACTGGGGCAAACTGGATGTTTACTCGGTCAGAGCAAGTAGGAAGATCGAGGAGAGGAAACGATGGAGAGAGAGACAGAGAGGTCCGACTGCAACGTGTCAGGTCTCGCAGCCCCCCCCAACCCTCAAACATAAAAACACCTCTGCAAACCGACACCCCTGGCCTGCAGGGTTCAAGTAACCGTGTGTTGGCAGCGCTATGGTGGGGACGTTGTAAGACAAACCCTTGTGTTGCGGGTCGGCGGTGCGTTCCTTTCTTTCTAAGACTACCCTGTTTTTCTCGGAGTGTCTGTGCTGTGAGAGAGGCGCATCGTAGTCTGTGTAGCCGAGTAGCTGAGCGATTATTCAAGGGGGCGGGGGTCAGTGGTGGTGTGTGCATTCGTCTGGGACAGTTTCTGAAAAGGCAGGGTCGGGGGAGAGCTGGGTGAAGACGTGGTTTTGTTTGGTGTGTTTGCTTTTGTTGCAGGGGAAGGGGCGCGATTTCTTCAACTGCCCCCTCCCGGGTCCCGGTCCTCTGGAGTCAGCCCCTCGGCGCCGGCTCTGCCTGGGGGTGCTCCCAAAGAGGGCACCTTGGAGAGAGTGGCGAACCTGGTTTGCCCCCCTAGAACCCCTCCCCTTTTGCACCCGCAGACAATCGGCGAC